CAAAGTAATTTTAATTTCTAAGTTCCTTGGAAATCGAACAGACTTTTGCACAATCCAATGTCTGTATTTATGTATTCTCTTTATCTTTCGTTTTTTATGCTCTGAAAGGCTTTATGATTGATTTCTGCCACAGCTATACCTTGTTCAAGATGTTTGATGACTTAATACTTCTAGCCAAAGGTGGTCTGACTGTGTACCATGGATCTGTAAAGAAAGTTGAAGAATACTTTTCTGGCCTAGGAATCACTGTGCCAGAACGTGTCAATCCTCCAGACCACTTCATTGACATTCTTGAGGGGATAGTGAAACCGGGCTCAGGCGTGACTGTTCAACAGCTCCCCGTCCGATGGATGCTTCATAATGGCTACCCTGTACCCCCAGATATGATGCAGTATTGCGATCAAATTGCAACATCCTCAAAGGGTGTAAATCCAAGTTTTACTGCAGCTACTGAACAATCTTTTGTTGGAGAAGAGCCTAAGCTAGATCATAGGCAGCATAGTTTCTTAAAATCCCATGACTTATCCGATCGAGTCACTGCTGGTGTACTTCGACAATATAGATATTTCCTTGGGAGGTAAAAAACTTCTTTTGTATAATTACAGATCTCCAAACCATTGGGGCTAGAAAATTTCAATTAGTGGCAGAAGTTTGCAAGCTGGAGCTGTGCTGTTGTCTCTGGAAAATTCAGATTTGACAATGATTGATTACAGTTGCACAACTTCAGGGTTGCATATTTATCTTCAAGTTTCTTTAGAAGCTGCAGCTGTGTAATGGTCAATTTTGTTAGCCACTGGTCGTTATGCGGTTCAATAAAATGCTTTTGTGTTGAAACCTAGACTTTGGGTAGTCGTTTAGTTGTTCATATGTGTGGGAGTTTACCCTTTAGTTGACTGCTCTGCAATTAAAAGTGAACGTGGTGTTGTTTTACAAAATTTTGCAGCTCACATGTTGCCTGAGTAGTTATGTAGGATTCACAGGGAAGAAATAATAGTTATAATATATGTTTAACTTTTGCAGGGTTGGCAAGCAGCGACTGCGAGAAGCTAAAGTACAAGCAGCAGATTATCTGATCCTTTTGCTTGCAGGAGCATGCTTAGGGACTCTTTCTAAAGTGAACGACGACCCATTTGGGGCTACTGGTTACCTTTATACCGTAATTGCTGTGTGTAAGTGGCAAAACACTAAACTGGTACAACGCCATATCCTATTCAATGTATATTTCCCTCCATTAGATCCTTATGTATTTTACTCGCTTCTCATAGCATAGGCAAATCTCTTTTGAATATCCATTGATCATCTCCCTTGTAAATTAAAATATGAATGACACAACAGGAAGTAAGATTCTACAAATTAACCAGTCAGGTGGCTACCACCACGAGTTCTAATTCGACTCTTGCAAGAGTCTTGATTTACTGGATTCACGTGGTTTGCAGGTGGTTGCGAGCATCTGGAATTTGTATTGCAAGTTGGGATGATTCTTGGTTATCCAAAAACAATTCTATAAACTTGTTTTTAATAAATAAATAAATACAGCAGTTTTTTCTCTTAATTTTCATTGCTCCTTATTGTTCATTATCTTAATTGCTGGATGCAGCACTTCTATGCAAGATTGCAGCTTTGAGATCGTTTTCATTGGACAAACTACATCACTGGAGAGAAAGTTCAAGTGGCATGAGTAGTCTTGCTTATTTTCTCTCCAAAGATACAATAGACCATTTCAATACAATCGTCAAGCCTTTGGTTTATCTTTTCATGTTCTATTTCCTCACCAATCCTAGATCAACCTTCATGGACAACTACATTGTTTTGCTCTGCCTCATATACTGCGTAACGGGCATAGCCTATGTATTTGCCATCTTCCTCGAACCTAGTCCAGCACAACTGGTACGTACTGAAAGGTCATTGATGAATAATCATGGAGAAATAACAAATATTTTCTATTACTTCTTATATGCTGACAAACCACTTAACAACAACCCCCCACCCCGTGCAGTGGTGTGTTCTTCTTCCCGTTGTTTTGACTCTCGTCGCAAATCAGGACAAAGAGGATAAAGTTCGGAAGCTTTTGGGAAATTATTGCTACCCAAAGTGGGCTTTGGAAGCTTTGTCATTGCAAATGCTGAAAGGTATAATGTAACTATCCCTTTCTGTTCTTAGAAGTAATTTATTGTGTTGTGCTGTTACTTGAATATACACATGTTGTACTGTCTTCCATGTTGTCACTCTTAAACCATCTACACATGTGAACTATAGACATTGTCACTGGAGATTGATTTAGATAATAGTTTGCTACAACCAAGTCTCATCAATGGTTTCACATGGTATTTTGGCGATAAAAAAATAATTAACATGCTAGGAAGATTTCCACTTTCTTCTATAATGTAATAAAAGATCTACGGATCTGGTTACTAATGCTTTATAAAATGAAGTTCTTTAGGCTGATAGACAAGGTACCTATTCTTATTTCACAAGGCTGCATTTGCTAATCCTATCCGCGTAATGCAATGGGTAAGGTTGCCTTTTTGAGTATATACTGCCTCCTTACATTTCTTTCTCCTTGCCTCTTCAGATACCCTGGAGTGTGGTTGATAACACGCTGTGGTGCGTTAATGGAATCTGGCTACAGCGTTCACGATTGGACTCGTTGTCTAGTTTCACTGATACTGACGGGTATAGGTAGTCGTTTTGTAGCTTTCTTTTGTTTGGTGACTTTTGGCAAGAAGTGATTTTAACCATTATTTCTGGCCACTTGTGTACAGAAATAGAAATGCAAGTTTTGGTCTGGTCCCCCTGTATGTTAGTACCTCACTTTGTGATCCAGAGAAATGGTAACATAATTCCTTTTAGCTGTGGGAGTGTGAATTGTTTACATAAACCATTAGCATAAGGCAGGTTAAGACTTTGTTGTTAAGTCTCGTTCTAACTGAAAGACAGAGTGGCAACAAGATCTTCGACGTTCCCGATTTTCCAATATTAAGTGTTATGTTGGGTAATGTGAATCTCTCAAGTCTCAACAATACCCAGATGAACCAGCATGTAAAAGGAGAAAGAGGGGTGGTCTGTGGGAGACTCTCTAAGTAGATTCTACAGGGTGGTTGCAATTGTTCTCGGCCATGTTATCGGAGTAGCCTGCTTGCCATTGCAATTTTACAGACAAACCTAAGGCTGGGCTAACAGCCAGTAATTCACGGGCTGGTGTCCATGGGTCGGATTATGCACGAATTTTATTATTCGGTCTGAAATTTGATAGGTCCAATAATTCGTCTGTCCAAACCCAAACCCAATATTATTAAAAAAAGGATTTGAGTTTACCTCAAAATCCATTACTTGGCCTGAAACCTAGCCCAATAGCCCAATCCAATAGCCCGCTTGTCAAGCCCATCCGCCCACTCTTCCTTTGAAAAAAAAGTTACATTTTTAGACCATTAAATTTGAAATTTTGAAATAAGTCTTACAATATCGGAATTTAAAGTTTTAAAATTTTAAGTATTATAAATAATATATTATTTTCTTTTTCATGTATTAAACATAAAAGTTTTAAAGGTGGAGTAATGCAAATGATAGATTAGTGAGTAGTTATCAACCTAGTTAAGATGTATTCATTCTATTGGACGTAGTTCATCCCCTAATCAAAAACAAAATTATTCATTATTTTTATTTTTATCTATTTTGACTCTATTTTTGATTCAAAAATATAATTACACAAATATTAAGTTATTTTTAAATAAAGTTGTATATAAAAAAGTCTGCGAGCAGGCCTTCTCAATAAACTAACAGGATGGATTGCGGGTAACCTATCCTTGCCTGAAGCCAAGTTCGGCCCGGCTCACCCGATAACTCACTTGGGTAAGAGTTTGAACCTATACTACCCAGACCCGGTTCAACCCATGGACATTCCTAGCTAGCCCGATGAAAGTGACTTATTCTCGCAAGGTTTTACATGTAGGGTTAGTTGTTTTCTTTGTGTCGATTGTTGTTAGTCCATCTAACGCCTTTTATTTGGGGTCCATTTGGGCCTTTTGGTTTAGATAACTAAAATATATTTCTAGTATTGAAGGTAGTCAAGGTGTCAGTCATTTTTCTCTCACCAGACTTATAAATCCTTTGCTTTTTTCTTTCTCTCTTTCGGTTCTCTTTCTCTTTTTTATTTAATGGGGACAGAGAATACCACTCTATTAATAACAAAAAAAAGCCGCAATTCAATTTTAGTTTGAACTTAGAACCAACACGCTGGTTCTCTTTCTCTTTTTTATTTAATGGGGACAGAGAATACCACTCTATTAATAACAAAAAAAAGCCGCAATTCAATTTTAGTTTGAACTTAGAACCAACACGCTATCTATCGATAAGCAAGAACATAATACTATTAGTTGCTTTGCCTATGTATTCTATTTGAGCTGGCTTTGAAACAAGTGTCGAGTCAGGAAAAAGTTTTAGAACGGGCACATTAGCACATTAAATTTTTTTTTTTTCAATTGACCGTAGAAATTCATAAATTCATATAATTGAAATTATATTTAACACTTAAAAGTTCAACAACGTAAAAGATTAAAAATCGATATGCATAACATGAACAAAAAAAAATAAAACTAAATATTAAAAATAGAACTGATTATTGTCACTTATAATTAACCATGATATGTTTTTATTATTTGAATAGTTACAAATCAATCTTATCAATAATATTTCTTTTATATATAAATCATGGTAACAATTTTCTATTTTTGACCCTATAGTTTACAACATAATGACATATTTTTATACAATAACGAAATAACCCTATAATTTAAAAAAATTATAAAATAACCTCAATATGTTTAAAACATATTCAGACATGTATAATATAAAATGTATCCAAATATTAACAATAATATTAGTTGTACCTAATTTGAGATTTAATTGGTAGAGACCTAATAGTTTATGACCATTAGATAAATTTTGAAGTTTATTAAATATTTATGCTCACTATTAAATTTAATATCACAATGTATTAGGTCTTTAAATTAGATCTCAATAACATTGTTAAAAAAATTAACAATAATTTAGGTAGAAATTTATTGAAATCAATATTCCCAAAATATAATAATAGTATGTGCACATTTAAATATATCTAAATTTTATTTTAAAAAATAATTGTCTAATGTGAAAGAAAAAAAAATTGAGGAAAAACATGTGGTCACCCTAGCTCAAGAGTGGCTCCGCCCCAGCTTGGAGACTGCATGTCTCACTAGCAAGACAAAAAACGTTAGCTTCTAGCGCGCGGCCCCTTTATTACTAAGTTGGCCCAGATAGGTTGTCTGAAGACTCTGAACCACAGCCAATGGGCCCCTACCTACTGCGACAGTATGGATCAGCCCGTCACCGACTTTTGCGCAAATCCAAATAGTTATTTTCGGGTCAGGTTTCATTTGATATGCTTCTTGCCATCCAAGAGGAAGCATGGGAGAGAGTTACTGGAAATTAATTGTAAAGTCAGGTGCCAGCTAATAAAGAGATGGAATGTGCACGTGCATGGGGGCTCCAATCAAACCATTTGTATTACCTTGTTGCCTTAGGTGTCACCAACATGCATGTTTCCTTCCCTGTGAGCTTGGTGGCCCAACGTCATGTGCTCTACATTCCTTACTAAAACTAATTCCAACCCCCCCCCCCCCCCCCCCCAACCAAGAAGAAAAAAAATAACCCAACCCCCCAATCGGATTTAAATTCTTTCTATTAGGCCTTCAAAAATATATCACCCATCTTGTATGGATGAGAGATCCACTTACAACTAATACATTTCATTTAAATCATACATGATAAGTGATCCATAGAAAAAATGAAATGCAGTGGATCCAAATCTCCCCACCCCCATCGCCACCGCTTGCTTGGTGATGATTAATTCCAGGCATACTAAAGAACCAAAGTTCCATGGATTTTAGACATACTCTGCCTGTCTAGTCATACCCATGGGATCATGATTGCATTATTGCCTATCTGTTATGTTTCACCAAAGTTCCATGGATTTTAGACATACTCGGCCTCTACTTATACTTATACCCATGGGTTTATGGTTGCGTTATTGCCTAGCTGTTATGTTGCGCTAAATGATGCGTCAAACACAGGGGGATTAGGATTTCTTAAACTTGCTAAAAGATTATGAAACATATTATACTTCTTATTAAGTCGAAGATCTGGGTTTAATCCTCACGTGTTGTCTAACGTCTCCGAGACTAAACCAGTATAAAGCACTTTGTCGTCAGGGATGTGCTCAGGCTTTCAGTCAGTTCTCTGCATATGAACTGCCAGGGTAAGGCACCCATCTTCCACAGCTCCAATTCGAATAAGTATTTCCTCTATTCTGTGGAAAAAAAAAGAACAGAGTTAGTCCTCACATTTGATTATGAGGAACCTGATTGCATTTGAGAACCACATAGTTGGGTGATAGGACAAATGCAATATTTATTACTCAAAAGCATCCTTCAATCCGACATATATAATACTTATTATAACAGATAGAAGAAGAAGAAGAGGCAAACAAGTCATCTCCAAGATATGAACATCATTGGACTGTTGAGCCTGGATACATTTTCCTGCTAACCATCTAGTTTCATAATGCTCAAGTTTTAAGCAGGACAACTTTACATGGGTATTAAAGCTTGTATTATAGTTCGCCAATAACTCTTCTCAAATTTCCATTTTCTAGAGTCACCTGCAACAACACACAACTTCAAATTTCATTGTATCAATCAAATTAAAACGCCTGTGGCCAACCCATTTAGACTCGCCCCTAAATCGTCCTCCCTTCCCATCCTCGAACTAACACACACACATAGAGGCACCACCCTGTGTTAGCAAACTTTTTTTGCCATGAAAATTCTATACAAACACGTATGCAGATATGCATTCAAGTATGGAAAACACAAATTTAACGGATAAATTGTCAAAAGACCCAAAATTGTATTTTTCATTTACTATAATCCTCTTTTGAAGCAGATCCGTATAGTATGTACTTTAATTCCACTTGTTTGCCACCCACAGCTTATCTCCAGCGTGTATGGTCAGAGAGCACATTGATAAACAGTTATCCCAAATACAGACACAGGAAAACGGTTCCATAAATTACCAATATGTTACTCTGTACGGGCAGTTTGATCACTAAAGACAATTTTAGATAATCCCAAAAAAGAAGAAATTGCAGTACGGAAAAAGGTCATATACCCAAAAGGGTAAAATATGTTATTGGTCCCCAAACTATGTGTTTTGTGTCAGTTTAGTCCCCAATTGTTTAATTGTGTTAATTTGGTCCCTCAACTTCTTAGTTTGTGTCACTTTGATCCAATTGAAAATGGCCATTTGAATTAACTAACAGACACTTGAAGGGTCATTTTGGTTCCTCAAATTTGTAACTTGTATCATTTTGGTCCTTTAAGTTTACTATTTGTGTCACTTTAGTCCCTAAAGTTCCCAAAGAATGCGCAGCAAGTGTAATCACGTGAGATGCACGTGACGATCTCCGTTAGTAATTTCAACTGCCGTTTTTGATTGGATCAAAGTGACATAAATTGAGAAGTTGAGGGACTAAATTGACACAATTAAAAGATTGAGGACCAAATATATATTTTATCCTATCCAAAAAGACTGATTAATGGTAGCAAAACATAAAACGTATTTCACTCCTGTTCTGTTTTGTTTCATCTCCCTTTCACTTACCCACAGTGATTTGAAGCCATGCTACGTGCCAAAATTAAATGATTAATGTAGTGGTAGACGTAGTTGGCTGACTATAAACTTCAAATATAGTGCACAAACATCTTAAAGTACTCTTATTTCTTGCAAATCATCACTCTTTCTCTCTAAATCAAGGTAGTTGAATCTCTACATAACATTGCCACAGTAGATTTAAAAACCCCACCACGACCCCCACTCCCACCCCTACCCCCAGCCCCACCGATAACATGTAACAATTATAAATGGGTAACGCACTTAGCCCAAGAAACTTCTCCCATCCCTCTTTCATATCTTATCTATTGCTTTCTTAAGCTTGTGGGGTCTAATTTCTGAGAACTTCAAAAGATCACTGAAACACATCATCCTCTTTTCTCACTTGGAGAGAGGGAGGGAGAGAGAGAGAGAGAGAGAGAGAGAGAGCAATCATGGGATGCTTTTTCGTACATTTTCGTATCAATGTGCAATACTATATATGAGGGATACAGAGCATGGAAACACGCAGTCAACTGGCCCTCAAAATATCATACTTCCTCTCAGCTATGCATTATATCAAGCATTTAATGCCCTAAACCATTGGCTCTTTCCATTTCTTATATAAACCTCTCTCATTTTCGTACCACCATCATCCCTATCTCTCTCTTCTACCCCTCTCACTTGCATACCACCACTACAATCTCCTCCCTACCACAGAAAAACACATATGAAGATAATGAAAGGCAAATTTCTCAGGGCGTGCCTAAACAAGTGGCAAAAGAAGGCTAATAGAGTCATACCTTCTGCAGCATGTGACAACTGCTGCCAAGGGGATTTGTGGCTTTCCATGCATGATGAAAAATCCATTCCAAGAGATGTCCCAAAAGGTCACTTGGTAGTCTATGTGGGTGAAAAGTACAAAAGATTTGTAATTAAGATCACACTACTCGAGCATCCACTCTTTGAGGCACTGCTGGATAGCGCCAAAGACGAATATGATTTCACTTCTGGCTCAAAACTGTGTATCCCTTGTGATGAGAACATCTTCCTCAGTGTTGTTCGATGTGCCAAGTCTCCCCAGTGTCAAAGAATATCTTTGTGCCTCTGATGGTTCATCCAACAAGCTCTAGATCAGATTTGATTTATGAGGGTTAACTCCTAAACGAGAATGTTGATTTATATAGAACCATGGCCTGGCCGTACACTACATTCACTTTTAATGTCTATTCACCACCTCAGATGTCGTTTTAATGCAAGAGCAGAGCTCTTTTTTGCTTTATTTTTGAAAATCATGAATCATAACCTAACTCAACAAAACTCCTACACCAACAACAATTATTTCAGCTATCAGCTCTATCTAGAATCAAATCTCCTCTAGACCATAGGCAACTGCTAGATCAGACTAGCTAAGCAAAGTGGCGGTGGACTCTCAATGCCTCCTTCAGTTTCAATTGAGACCTCCTTTGTGAGCATGCGTAGTTGTGACAATGTCTACTTCTTAAATCATATTGGATCGACAATGGATGGATGACAAAAGCGGCAAGCATGAAATGGGGGCAAATACCAAACCTTGGAGGACGTGGGATCACTCTTCTACCTTGACATAAACAGATCCTCGACAGCGTTGGCAGAAAAAAGAGAGATCCAGTTCGTCGAGCCAAATGTTATTCGGCCGGGGAATTGATGCAATCAAAATAGACATTCAGACATTGAAGGCCTAGGAGACTGATTTGAATCAATATGGTTTTAAGTTTTGAAAAGTCCAGAATAAGATTTTTAGGTCTAATTATGGAAGGTTTCATTGATTTGATTCTGTTTTTTATTAGGAAAGTACTTGACAGAAATTTTCAGTAAGACAAAGTAATTTCTTTGATAATTAAGTCACAGGAAATTATATATGGATGCTATAAAAACCATTTTCAGTAGAGTAGAAAGTTTTACTGTTTTAGTGAATGAAATCTAAGAATTTAGCATTTTGTTGTTTTAATTTCTGAGTGTACGTTCTCAGCCTCTAAGCTCATAGAATTCAAGCCTATTTCCTGGAAGTTAATATTTCTGGCCTTTATTCGCTGGAATTTGAGAGATTCTGGCAGTATACCTTCAATCCTTTTATAAAGCAGACCTGCAGGTCCAGTTTTGATCCATATTTTTGGTTGGATCCATCACTAAATCACTCCGAGACCATATGACTGTTCTCATATGTTTCCTCCCACAAATTTTAAAAGCTACATGCGGAAATCTAAAGTTTTTGAATCTTCCATATTGTGTTCCGAAATGCAAATGACCATCTTTAAGTATGTTCATACTGAATTGCAATACACCAGGGTGTAATCTTTTTCTGGTAACTTTGAGCTGAACCAAACACTTAAACCTACAATTTTCTGAATTCTCAGATTGTACATCAAAGATGAGGTAGAGAAAGAAACCTACAAAGTTCATGAACTCAGACTCTGCTACATATTTGGCTTTGGGAATTCCATAGATAAAAAGTCAGAAGATAGCGGACACAGATCCTGATATGATAGTTAACAATGCATCACTTGATTTCCATACGTTACATAAATTCCATTTTTTCATCCACAGTATAATTTTTACCTTTCAATATTCAAGGGTTAAGTATTGTTTTCTGAAGATTCGAAGCTTCAACTTTTATACTTAGGATCCAGGGTTATGAAGTTATGCCTAAATCACTGAAGAAGTTCTAGCAGATGGATAGCTACCCAGGGGGCTTTCTTTGACTCTCAACAGTGTGGAAAGTGACTTTGATAAAAATTTGTACCATCAAATTGAAGGTTACAAAAACTATATCTGCAAAAAATACAGAGGGAAGTAAGACTAGGAAGCCACATTGTGAATTCAATGGTCATCCTGCTTAGTCACTGCTCAATGCATACTACATTCTAAAATAACATATCAAATTAAATATCATTATGCCCCATGTACTTGTTGGATTTCTTGACTGGCTGCTGATGTTGTGTGTTTTGGGTTCAAAGCTATCTGACACCTACTATTTGATGTAAACCATATATTCATACAAATTTTTGTTGTAAATAAGTATGTTTTTCTAAATGTTAGCTTGATACTAAAATTTCTCTGTTCAGGAACACACGTACATACAAGTTGCCTTACCGAAGAAATAAAGCAATAATATCAATTACTCCTTCAAAAACATTGAGCATGAAAACAAAACCCTAAAGTAAGCTTGCCGTACCCAGAAGGTTGTTTCACCAGAATACCCTCTCACACTCCCTCATCATAACCCTCTCAAGAATGCCTTTTATGGTATTTAGTTTAAGCCATGTCCTAGTCATTATTGAGTGCCCTCACCGATGTTTCTTAGTGTTTAGGAATTTGCCTTAAAATCTCTTCTTCCATTCTCACCAGGTACACAGTAACAAATACCCATAGCCTTCCTTCCTGTTATTATGTAGCCCTAGGAAACACAGATATGGATACGGGATACAAGTACAATATGATACGGACACAACAAAATCTACAAAAATAAGATACTGGGACAGCTAGTAGGCCTTTCAATGGACCGGATTTCAATCTGAATTCGATTAGCCGGATCCGGTTTGATATTTCTTTACCAATAGTCTGAATTTGAATCCGTTATACTACATTTAGCATACTCAGATTTGGATATATATATATATATATAGACCTTTGATTAAAGACATCCCAACCGTGAATTTAAAAAAAATCTGATGACCACTCAATTCCCAATAAAGGCTACAATTCCCAACCTAATAGTCTTCCACGCAAACTCTCTGTCTCTCACATCTTTGCCTATCCGGTTGCCTTAATTCACTCCACTTGCTTTTCACAATCGACTCTCTTGGAGACTCAAGCTCTTCAACACTCTGTCTTGCCTCTGTTCATCGTCTTCCCTTTCTCTTCTTCTCTCGTTAAATTTTCTACAATGTTGACCGGTGAAAAAGAAGATGCCCAAAAATAGTTTGAATAGTTTTGGAACTGAGGTATTATGAATTTTTGCCACATGTTTTGTCATTTGCTTTGTTTAGTTTTTTATTGTTAGTAGTATACATTTTTTAAGAGTCTTAGGCATCTGGATTTCTATCTCATATGGGATTTGATTTCTTGTGTTATTTTTTTATTTGAACTCATAGATTATAGTTTAAAAGTTTAGTGATAGATTTCGCTTTGTCTTAGTAGCCACCCAAGGTTTCTTGTTTGTTGATAGTAGTCTTTTGTCATCTTCTAATTTGGCAAAGTTTTTTCTTGAAACTTCTTGTAAAATTTTCTTGTTTGTGCTTATTGCTTGCTCCTTGGGCTTTGTTAATTTTTCCTGTTTTATTGTGTGCAACAGTTGTGGCCTTGATTAATTATTTATTGCCAAATAAAATGTTTGAACCAATTGCTGAACCAACGAGAGTGACTGAAATTTCCGAAATTGAAGTCACAAATGACAATGTTAATTGAATCAGGAGGTGGAGCTGCTCCAAAGAAGCAAAGATTAATTTTCAAACAAAGATTAACTTCAAAGGTACGACAAGATTTTGTAAAGAATAAAAGACGTAAAGAAGAGGTTGCTATTTGCAATCACTGCAAAAAAAAAATTTGTTGGGGAGAGTAGTAAAGGGACTAGTCATCTAAAGTCCCATCTTTCTAGATGCATATTTAGAAACAAGAAGCACGGTGACATTAGCCTGCAATTGTTATCCTTGAAAAAAATGCTACTGACTCGACTGCAAAAGTTGAAACTTTTAAGTTTGATCAGGATAAGAGTAGAACGGATTTAGCCACAATGATCATCAAGCATAATTATCTTTTTAACATGGCCGAACATGAATTTTTTGAGACTTTTTGCAATGGCCTTCAACCTAGCTTCAAGCTTATGTCAAGGAATACAATTAGAGCTGATATTGTAAGGGTGTATCAACAAGAGAAAGAGAAAGAGAAAGAGAAATTGTATAACTACTTGGATCGACTGACAACTGATCTATGGATAGTAGACCATCAAAACCTTGGCTATATTTGCTTGATAGCACATTTTATTGACGATGATTGGGAATTGAAGAAAAAAATTCTGAATTATAAGTACATAAAATGCCCTCATGATGCGGATACACTGTTGAAATATATCACAGATATGATTTTAGAGTGGAATATTGATTGAAAGTTGTTTGCAATAGTAGTGGATAATGCCACAACCAATGATGTCATGATAAGAGGCATGAAGACTTGGCTTTGTGATAAGGCACTTTTGCCTATGGGTGCGGACTTATTCCATTTGCGTTGTAGTCCGCATATTCTTAATCTAATTGTGCAAGATGGGTTGTTAGAGATGGGAAACCTTATTTATAACGTTAGAGAGAGTGTGAAATATGTGAATAGAACTCCTTATTCGGAACAAGAGTTTGATAATGCCATAAGTCAAGTTAAATTGAAAGGAAGGAAAAAAACTACTTTGGATTGTCCCACTAGGTGGAATTCCACTTTTGATATGCTTGAGAGTGCAATGGGGATGAGAGATGCATTTTGGCACAAATAGATAGGAATTACAAACACAATCCATTAGATGAGGTGTGGGAAGTTGCAAAAATATTGTGTGGTTGTTTGAGGATTTTTTATGAAGCAACTACATATTTTTCTGGCACAAATTTTCCAACTTCAAAAGTTTTTTTCCAGATATTTGTGACATACAACTCAACTTGAATAGGTGCGAAAAAAGTCAATATCCATTTCTTCGTAGTATGGCATGCCCGATGAAATCCAAGTTTGCTAAATATTAGGAAGAATGTAGCTTAGTTTTAGCTATTTTCGTTGTTCTTGATCCAAGATTTAAGTTAAATTTAATTGAGTATTACTATGCCAGAATTTATGGTCAGGATGCTAAAAAATTTGTTGAGAGAGTTCGCAATACTCTTGGAGATCTTTTTAGTGAATATGGGAATGAATCATCTCAAACAATGTCTTATGATTCTCATTTGGGAAAAAACAACTCTTGTAGTTCTTTAAATCTTGATGGTTCAAGTGAAAAATTAAATGGCTTCGATGAATGGTATGCACAAGCTCGCGTTTCCAACATTCTTGCATACCAAAAATCAGAATTGGAGAATTTTAGCATTCTACGTTGGTGAAAGGTTAATAGTGTTAAACTTCCTACTCTAGCAAAGATAGCTCATGATGTCTTGGCTGTTCCAACTACTACAGTTGCATCAGAGGCAACTTTTAGTGTTGGTGGTCAAGTGATTCATGAGGCACAAAAATTGAGGTTTTCATGTTTTTTCTATTGTCTGATAACAATTCTACACATTCCACAAGTGAGGATAACAAGAAATGAAGTTCCAGATTTTATTTTGGTCACTATCCATAGATGAGAAGATTGAGGAGATGGAGTGTGCATGGTTTTTGGGAGTTAGTAGAATTGTTTTTGTTTCCTTTTCATGTAACTCATTGATATTTTTGTTAGATGTGAGCATTTTGTACATGTGCCCATTTTTTATTTTTAAGTTATTGTGGGCAATTGGTGATCCTGTACAGTAGGGGAAATCTTTATGTAAACTAGATATTTTTTTGTTCACTATTATCTTGTTGTTCAAGTGCTCTTTTTTTGGGCTTTTGAGATACTGCATGTGGATAATCAAGAGAAGTATTATGTTGACTTGTTCATGATCATAGACAAATACTTGCCAAATATTTTATTGAGATATTTGATTTAGTGTAGGACTCTTAGATGTGCATATTCATCCTCGGTCCATTTATATGGACTAGTAATACACCACGTGCGTTACACGTGAATAATTTTCATGTACAAAATATTAATAAAAAGTTTTAGGTATATGTGTACCTACATTAAATATCATTTCAAGTTTATCAAAATTATATTTTTATTGCTCGTATTATATTATAGAATTTGAAAATATTGTTTGTTCCCAACGATTCATTGTTTTAAGCATTAAAAAAATAAAAATAAGTTATTTGAAATTCATTTGATTATGTTTCAACTTATAATTCATTGAATAAAATAAAAATAATTTTTAATATTCTAATCAATGCTTACTATAATTAGTTAGATTAATAGAGATAAAATATAGGACTAATAACACTTTGGTTCTCTAAAGTATGCACTTTTTGTCAGCTTAGTCCTTAATATATAAATTTTGTCAATTTGGTCTCTAAAATATTTAATTCTTGTTTAAATGCTCCCTAACCAGATGGTCCATTAAGTTTTTTGACGAAAATAACCACATGTTATTCCGTCAAATAGTATCACATGATCACTTCTATAAAAAACTTAACAGAATGTCTGTATATGGATTTAAACATTAACTAAATATTTTAAGAACCAAATTAACAAAATTGATACAATGAAGATCAAACTGACAAACTATGCATATTTTAGGGATTAAAAGTGCTATTCACCTTAAAATATAATATACTACTCTATAATATATATATTTTAAAATAATATTAAAATTCTAAAATTTAAGTTTTACTTAAAAATATAATATAATTTTTTTACACAAATTCTTAATAAAATATGAAAAATTTACTATGATTGAAGAATTATGCTAATTTAATAAAAATTATTTAAAAAAAACTACGTAAAAGATTATTTTTTATCTTAAAAATTAAATTGCTGAAATTTTGGATGAAAGAAATACACATGTATAAGGATAATGTTATCTTTATATTTAAAATGAGTAATATTAAATTGATAAATTTTTTTTAAAAAAATTAAATATTTTTTTAAAAATTATAGTGATGCATATATGTTTTAAAGGTAACATAGTCAATTAACAAGTTTTATAGATATTGATATTTATACATAGTAAACAAAGAATTAAAAGAGATGTTAGGAGTAATTTGGAGATTTAAACATATACGTATATGATGACAATTTAGATATTCAAATATTGAAAGAAAGTATGGTATTTAAAATTTTTTATAAGAGTAAAATAGTGAATCAAAAAATTTTCATACTAAAACAAAAGTTTCATTCTTTATTAGTAGTATAGATGGAAAAAAATACATATATATAGTCATAATGTTATCTATATATTTGAAAAAAGTATGATTTACTGATGAAGTTTTTAAACATTTTATTGAAAATATAATGATGCATATATTTTTTTAAAAGTAACATAGTCAATTAATTTTTTTATAGATATTGACATTTATACAAAGATAATAGAGAAGTAAAAGTAATGTTAGAGGATAAATTAGAAATTTAAATACATAAGGACATAATTGTAATTTAGATATTTAACTATAGAAAGATAATGTAGTAATTAAAATTTTTTATAAGGGTAAAATAGAGAATCAAAAGTTTTTTACTTAAGGTACTTTTATTAGTAGTATAGAATAAGGTGTAGTAGTTCAGTTAATAGTGCTAATTATCGGATCAGATCGGATTATTATATCGGATATTTGAATGTTAATGGATTCGGATATGGATTAATTTTTTACAATCCGTAGGGTAAACGGATCGGATCGGATCAAGTAAATTGTAATCAGATTGAATTCGGATGTATCATAATCTGGTCCATATCCAATCCATTGACAGGCCTAAGCTAGGATACGCCTAGATATGTTAGTAAAACACTAGGGATATGAAGGATTAAAAAATAAAACACATCCAAACTAAAATAATTTGTTACTAGTATTTTACATTCAAGATTATATGTAATTCTAATGCTAAAGACATGTCACCCTTGGATAATCATCAACTTTTACTTAACATTTAATTGTAATAGACTTCATTGACTTTACCATAAGCCATAAAAACTCATTATTCAAGTCAATCAAATTGTACAAAATTGAAAAATCTTGTGCTATATGTGACGCACGTCCGAATGAAAATCTTGGAATGAGCAATCCCCATTTGTATGATTCACGATTTCTAGACAACCTGCCTCACTAAGTATAAAGCAAATGTGTTCACCGTGACGATACCAATATTCGAGTGTATTCAACAAGTATCTAACAATGATAAATATTTTATTGATTACTCAATATGTGTGGAAAATATCCGATACATATCACTCGTATCCGATGAGTATCGATATCCGATGCGTATCGAATACAGATACGTCACCATGATGGAAATATCCGTGTTTCATAGTTCTAGCATAAGAATTACATAACGGAGATGCAGCCCTAAAGCAGAAGCAAGGTGCATCCATAAAGGCGAATATAACATGCAAGACCAGGAGAACAACATCAGAATACTGTGCTGAAAAATTCATAAATTAGCACAAGAAGTGATCCAGATGCAATATACTTATCAGTTCCCAACAGTGGTTCGTTTATTCTCTAACATCAACGATATCAAAGGTGTCAACAATTGGGAAAATTAAGACTAACCCCTTAAAAGTTTTCACCAAGGAGAAATTATATTGAATGTCATTCAACCAAGATTGCAACACGATATACAAAAAAATCATAGAAATATACACAAATTCTAAATTGCATCAAGAAGAAGTACATACAACGCATCGCTGGTGAAATCACCAAAACAATGGCAGTGCTTAATCAACCTTCACAGTAAAACATGGAGCACATGAAGCACCAAAAGATTACCGGTATTTTCCCAGTCATGATTGTGTCTTCGAATAACTTCCACTGGATATCATCTAACACCCTCAAGAAAGCCCTCCAACTCTCTCCGCCCAAATGGCCGTCCAAGCGAAGTAGCATCCTTGTACCTCGCAGCAAAGTAATATATCAGCCAAGCCACCATAAAATAAACCTCCATCACAGATTGGAAAGCAAAGGCAAACAATTTCCCAAAAAATCTGGTCAGTATCCATCTCATAAATGACCCACAAATAATCCCGTCCATACATTTGATGCCAATAGCAGGGTTTAGCATTGTCGACAACAAATGACACCCTTCCTTCACAACCTCCCTCCCACTCCTCCTTGAGTCCACAATGGCAACCCATGCATCCACAGCAAAAATAAACGCCACCACCGTGTCCAAGAAGAACCATGACAACAAGAACCCCACACTCTCCCTCTCATGTCCTTTTACCCACAGAGACATTATTGAAAATGGCATTAACTTCAACCTCACAAAAATCTTGAAGAACGAGTACTGGTCCTCAATTTCACCAAAGAACCAAATACCCAATAACTGAGTCAATGCATCTCTTACTGCCCACCTCATAAGAATAAACCCAGAAAGCCTTTTCAAACCCAAATTGGAACCAACCCACACTGTCCGAAAGAACGACCTGTGCTTCCCTAACAAATCATTCACAACAGCAAAGAAAACAGTTCCAAGCACCCAAGCATGAATAACTAAAAACCCAAAAATCACATACCCATAAGCAACAGACAAACTCCCCACAAGAATTAACAATGCGATCGCATCCCGGCGACCCAACTCCAACCCCCGGATAAAGAACTGCAAATTAACTATTCTTTCACCATCGTTACCTTCTGCCTCTTCTCTCCCCACATCATGGGTTTCATTCAGTACTTCAGAGTATACAGACTGCTCAGGAGCTTTGAAAGAAACCCCTGAACGGACTATTTCAGAAAACCGAATTCCATTATCGGTAATGTCATTCGGAAACCCTAATTTGGGGTTGAGAATTAGAAAGGAGCCATTGAGATGGGGTTTGGGGTTGGACCCAAAGAGAGAGCGGTCATAGTCATCATCGCCGGAGAAGAAATCGTCATCGAGAGTGCCGACTCGGGAGAGGTGGAGGAAAGGACGGCGGCGGCGCTGGCGGAGGAGATGGTGATTGTGGTGGTCGCGTTGGGGAAAATGGGATCGACCGGAAATATCAAGGCGGGAGAGGAGGGATTTGAGAGAAGGGTCACGGTCGATAATGGAAGTGAGGTAGTGGGTACCGTTTTCGACGTTAGAACGGAAGGTGAAGATCAAAGAGGAGAGGAAGAGGAAGATGAGGAGGTGGGAAGTAAAGATTCTGGTGGTTTGTTTGAGGAGTTGGGTGGTGGATTGGTGGTTAATGGGTGGTGGTGGTGGATTGTGGTGGTTCATGGCGGTTTTTAGGGCTCAACAGAGTGATCTTGAATTGGCTATTGATGATCTTTACGGGAATTTCCGATCGGGGAGTGAGAGATTGTGAGAGAATGTGTCAAAATCGTACAGAGATTGAGCTGAAGATAGTCAAAATTGATAATGGGTAAGAACAGTGGTGGTGTCGCATTCTTGAATCATTTGAGACAATAGAGGCTCTTGTTTGTCCTGACCTGAGTTAGGACTCAGAGGAGTTTCTCTTCTTTACTCTCAACCCTTCCATGTCTTTTTTTTTTTTTGATTTCTTAAATTCGTGATTCAAGGTTTCTAAGGTTTTTTTTTTTTTTTTTCATTAGTCAATTTTTTTAATCAAATATTAATAGCCTAATTATCTTTTATTCTTAGTGAACCTAGAATTGAGGAAGTAGTGATTCATTTAAATATTCATTTAATTTTACTTGTACTGTTTGCACTGACTATTAAAAAATTTTGCAAATCTTATCCTTTTGATGAGAGTAATTTTAATTGTTAAACTAAATTTGTTTAATTGGATCATTCTTGAAATACATTGCATTCATGAAATTATTTATTCTTACTTTTATCACGTGTTTGTATTATGTGTCCTCATTAAATGATCTGATTGAAAATACTTTAAACCCTCTATATATGTTGATAGACAAGATCTATCTCTATATTTATTATCATTTTAAAAGGGTATTTGGATCACCGAGTTGAATTGGACAGGTTTTCTTTTTTATATCCTACCTCAGTCAATCCAAACCTACTCAACCATTTAAATTGGATGTGATAAGCCAATATGTGAATCGCTAGTCTGTGTCCACTACATCGACAAGGTTTGGACCTCTAATCCTTTGATTCTTCCTTCAGATCCCTATGATCGTGCCATTCGACTTCAGTTGAGATGATATAGTGGTCGAAAAAAGGAATTTTGATCTCTTGTGAATTTGTCGACCTCATGGATCAATATACAGCCTCGGACATCGTTGGTGTCGGTGGGTAAGGAAGACGCTGGAGGGTAAGGAAGATGTTGTTGGCGACGACGATTGTTGACCGTCGTTGAGAGCAACACAAGTGGCTGAGAAGTGTAGAAGTGACCTAGGGTAAATCGTAAAAAAAAAAGGTATTATAATAATTAAGTAATGTATCCCATTGGTTGAGTTTGTAACCCACGAAGAAGGTGGGTTAATCTTAACTACTGTAGAAAGGTTAAAATGTCTTGTAACAATTAGGTCAAGATTAGACCCAAGATTTTTATCCCACTTTCTATTTTGACTTCCCAAACAATGATATATGGGACTCATTATCTTGTTAAGTTGTCCTTATTAGTTTTATCCATAGTTTTAAAACCCGGCCCAGACACCAACTCGGAGAAGGGACCGGGTCAATGAATTTCTAGTTTAACCACTGGGTCACTGGTCGAACAGGTGATATAATAAAAAAATAAAAAATAATTATTAATGATGATAAATAGACTAAAAAATTAAAATAGTTATAAAAATAACATGTTTAATATATATTAAATCAAACAAAGTTATCAAGCCTGAATCACTTAATTGCATTCAATTAACAGCCCAACCTCTATCCTCAAACTTGAATTACTTAATTGTATTCGCTTAATTTTTGAGCTAACAAACACTGAACGAATGATTTAGGATTTAGGGCAAAACAAAAGGGAAAAAGAAAAAGTCACAAAAATGTAAAAAAAAAACATATTTATACTAAAGGAACAAAACCGGCCGGTTTTGTAAACCCGGTCCGGTTTTGACCGGTTCACCGGTTTTATTCCGGGTTCTTTGCTCAAACGGTCCAATTACAAAACCGGCCCGGTTATGGGACCGGTTCACCGGGTCAATCCGCCGGGCCAGACCGGGCCGGGTTTTAAAACACTGATTTTATCCCACTTTAACCCATTAGCCAAACACACCCTTTGAGGCTCGAGAGTGTGTCTACACGAGGGAGAAAAGATCTCTGCACGGTTTGCAAAGTTAAAGAATACTTGTTCGAATCCCCTTTCTCTCTCCTATTTACAGTGTGTAAGTAGTGTTAGTATATATGCATCTCAGACAAATCTTGGCCATCAAGGCTTAACCCCCGACTAATAATTTGGACCTAGATCAGAGGTTAAAGCATTTATTTGGAGTGAAGCATCTGCAATGCTTGGCATTCAACACTACATTAACTGCCATTTTTGTTTGGCCGCTGCATTGAAGAGCCATTTTAGTTCGTTTATTCCCGCTAATAGAGGAGAGGTACTCCCTTTTAAATGTGCCCCTTTTTGTAGATCAATCAATCAATGCCACCGTAAATGAAGTTCTTGTAACCACATTCAACAAAACATACTTTCACAATAAAAAACAATGCTATTATAGAGATCTAATTAAAAACTTAATCAAGTACATAGTTCAATGTAATCATTAGCATGAAAGTGGGCACCATCTAAATAATATTTTCTTTCCTGAAAGAAAAACACCTCAAATGTTCTGGCCTTTTCAAGCTGTTTGTGGGGGTTGGTGATGGAACCCAGATCAAACACTAAGGACTTCTTTGGTATATTTTTTGAACGGGGTTTAAATTAACTTATCCAAACCCTTTCAAACCCAAAGATGAGATTTAACATTTAATGTTATTCATACTCATGTTTGATATATATGATTATTATAATAATATATTTATATTTAAATGATTATTTTGTCCCTTAACCAATTTAATATAAAGTATATAGGATATATATGGAGAGTATAAATATCATTTGAATATTAAACTCATTAACCCACATATGACCCTCCAATAGATTTCATGAAACACATGAACTTGAGTTTCACGACCAGGCCTAAATCGAACTGGGTTTCAAACTCTGAGTTAAATGTATATTTGTCAAACATGAGTTTGAGGGAGTCAACTCATGTTCCAAACCCATCCCCCCCCCCCCCCCCCCGCCTCCAAAAGAGAAAAACCCACATACCAATCAAGGCCTAAATAGTTACACAAAACACAAAAATCCACAACTTACGGGTAGTGAAAACTTATTTAGGGAATGTTGAAGTACATTTTTTTTCTCCAAAAAAAATAATAAAAATACCATCAAAAACAAATATACATATATTATCCCACGTATAGAGAAATTATTTTGATAACTCAAACTGATATCATTTAATATTGTTTTGACATTTGAGCGTCGATATCAGAGTCAACATCTTGGTGCAGAAGAGAATGGATTCGCATTCACCCAAAGAGGAGATAATTGGCACTTGAGATTTAAAACTGGAACTAGATGCTGGTTCCAACCATTCAATTCTACGTGATAAGGGAAGCATAAACTGCAAATTCTATGTTTTTCAATGCAACCTTTCAATTGTATACCGACGACTAGGAAAACTCAAAATTTGCTTAATCACATGTATTGAATCAACCAATACATCTCTTCGAATATTCAAAGTTCAGACACAAAGATATTAACCAACAAATATTTGTTATCCGAAATTATAGATTTTGATAAGGCATGTGTGTGTTTTGCTAGATGTACTGCATGGCGTTAACACAATATGATGGCCTCTTCCTCTCTCACACAATGGTGGACTTGAAGAACTCAATCAACCCTACATTTCTCTTTCTTGTGGTTCCACCACGATTTAGCAATTCACATTCTACCTGAAACCTCAATGAGTCATCTGCAAGCAGCATTTCAGTATCCATTAACAAGACCCAAGAACCTGCCATTTGGGAATCAAAACAGATTTTACAAACTAATTCGGGTATCTGCGTTATGGGCATTAAACCCTCTCGAGCAGAATTACCACAATTATTCATTCAATGGGTTGATGAATCAGATAAGAAATAACTCAAACTTACACATCTGTTGTGCAGCATATGGTAAGCAGATCCGAGGGAGTCCCAAAAATATTGGATTTAGATTTTACTTCAGTACTGAAGTATATAATGTAACTTGACAAAATCTAAAATTTGTGGACGGCAGAACAAACTCCCCGAGCAAATAACTGGATCTAGAAGCTACCTCTTGGTGCAGCCATTATGGTGACTACCAAGGGAGCCACAAAATACAAATATCACAATATAAAATTAAGTTTCTCAACAATCAAAATTCAAACAGAGCAGGGAACTGCAGGAAGAACACAAACGGCTTATTTAAAATCAGGCTTCTCAGGGTATGTGCAACCAGACCTTTGGATGATCACATTTGCTGCATAACAACCAGCTTTTACACAGTCGTCAATGGGTTTTCCTTGAACCAATTGAGAGAGAAACCCCCCAACAAATGCATCCCCTACAAAACAAATATGTATATAGACCTTAAATGCACTTTTATTGTGTATGAGTCTGTTGGACATACTATGATATGCCAGAACAGAAACAATAAAGTAATATGCAAGGCAGGTCAATAGATGCACTCGAGCTTGCTCCTACATTATCTGACTTATCAGTGCAATAGATGTAGCCTTCAAAAACTGTAAAATGTTGGCTTTAAGCATCTGAAGCTGCCAGGGGCAACATGAAAGCACATACCTGCACCATTGGTATCAACAAGTTTTTCTTTAGGTAGCTTTATTACAGGGAACAATTTCACCTTCCCATCCTCTGCAACAACTGTTGGATCTGCACCCTGCGTGATAACAGTAATCCTCTTGTGTGTGCCCGATGCCTTTGGCCACTGGGAAATTTTTATAGCTATTTCCTCAACATTCTCAGTCTGACCATTAAAAGCAGTCCAATCAGGAAGAAAGTTAAGAAACAAGTTACAAAATCTCGTGTCAAGCAATCATTACCTCCCAACCATGAACTTTTGAGAAGGTTCTTGCTTCTGTCTCGTTTCCGAAAACAAAGTCCACATACCTAAAAGCAAGCCTAAACTCAGTATCACCATTTTCATTAAATTGATGCAGCAAAAGAAAAGAACATTGGGCTTACGGCAAAAGTTTCTCTTGAGCATCTTTAAAGAACTCACAAATAAATGGAGCAGAAAGGTTCATCATGAAGACCTGCATATGGATGGAAAACTTTGGTTCTGTTTCATATGAAGATAGCTGAAAAACAACAATGAAGGTGCTTCTATTATTTTCAAATGTATACCTTGTTGTTTGCTGCTGCATGCTCAGCAACAAGCTGAATGGAGTCAGGGGAAACAGTGAGAAAGAATCCAGCAATGTAGTAGTACTTCGCCTTCTCAACTGCCAAAATATACTCAGCTTAGCTCAAAAGAATGTATAACTAGCCAAAACAAGAGCCAAGAACAACACAAGTACCAAGTGCCCAATTTTCTGGTCTCTTTAAATGTTCAGATTTATAGCAATTTGCAGCCGACAGATTGGCAACAAGAGACCTGCATATATATTTAACACCGAAACTTGTTTATCCAGCTCGACAAAAGTATAAGAAATCCTAGTTGCCATATTCATAAAATGTTCAAGGACATAAGCTAATTAACAATTAACAACTGGAATAAGAAGCCAAAACATACTGAAACACTTGGGGCTATTTTGTGCCAATGAGTTCTATAGTTTTTGTGACCCAAGTTATAAACCGTTTTAAAAAAGAGTGAAAGATTGAGAGCTCCACACGGATCGCCAACATTTTAGGCTCTCCACAAACCAAGGCCTAACGAACACACCTTCCCTGCATCTCATTGCCCATAATGAGGTAATGCGCAATTGTTTCTAGCATTTGCTCTCTAGGTGTTTTGCTGAGATATAGGTCAATCACAAAAGCCAATGTTCCCATCGTGTGACTTGACAGATCACACAGAGAAGCTCATATGTACATACAACAGGCAAACTTAGACCAACAAAGATATTCTTGATATATATCATTCTTCGCATATGAAGATAGCCAAACATATCAGGAAACACAAGAAGATAATTCCTGATTGTGGCAGTATATAGCTCATCAATCTGCTTTCTAATCCAATGCCATATTGGTAGCTAAATGATGGGGCTAATCAATCAATTTATTACTTTTGGAACTCTTAATTTTTTTTGGAACTCTTAACTATAAGAACTTTCTCAGCACAGCATCATTGCGTTTCAACAAAGTGATATCCATTTAATCTTCAAATTTTTATTTTCCAGGTTTTCCCCCCCGCATATGATAATAATGTTCGCCCACAATTCATGCTCAAAATAAAAAATGAATATTCTTGACTGAATTAGAATAGTTAAAGCAGTATGCATCTGAGATCCACCTCAAGACAAATGAACAGTTTACAAATGTATATATATACCAACAATATATAGGATCGATACCAATAAATTAAGCGAAAGCTTTTATTTAATACAAATTGAAATTTACAAAATTTAATTACAGAAGAAGAGGATAGAAGGAACAAAGAAGATGAAAGCAAGTTTACTAGAGAAGGGAGAGAGTGGTCAAGAGAGAGTAGAGGAGGAGAAAGAGAGATGGAGTCTGAAGGTTGTCCCCTTTCAAATCTTTGGGTTAAATTTAAGTAGTTATCTCACCAACCTCTTAATTGGCCAATAAATATTGCTGTAATAAATTTAGCAGTGTTATAATCTGTATTTCGATTGGCTTTACATATAAATGCATACATTAGAATTTTATATAAAACTTGATGAATTACATACTCTGACATACTATCAATATTCCACTCATAAATGGAGGAAGCAGCATATCCAGTTTATTCAATAAAGAAATTTTTCTCATATAAAATATCTTGAGGTGTTAATCTCTGATAATAAACCCTTATAAGGGGTGCTTAAGGATATGTGTTAGTTTGTTTTTTGAGTTTCGAATACCCAATTTTGTTTACTTCAGACTACATTTGATGCAGAGATTCTTCAAACTGTTGAATTTCAGTTTCAAATTGCTCTACACTCTCAGTTTAAGAAATTACATTTAATGATAAATTTTTCAGTTTATTTTTTAGTTCAATTATGAACTTATCTTCAATCTTATTATGAAGATTAAATTTAGAAGTCTCAACTAGAGGTTTAATATTTACTTTCTCAATTTCAATTGTTTTGTCCATTAAGGATTTAGATGTCATGGCTTCTATTTTTTGTTGATCTTTAATTAAATTTTCAATTTTTATCAAATGTTGTCCTACAACTTATAAGCAAACATTTGTGTAATTATTTTGTTTGATAGAAATATTTTTATCTATGTCATTATTATCTTTTAATGCATAACAAGCATTCATTATAACTTCATTTGCTTCATTTAAGTCTAATTTTACAGCTTCAGTGATTGGAGAGTACAAACTAGTGATATTTTTTACCACCTAGAGTTTCCCATTTATGTTGAATTTTTTCAATTACATTTAATTGATCCAGTGTAGGTGGAGCATAGAAAATTAAAAACCATTGAACAAAAGAAATTACTGTTTTTTCTCTTTTTATAAAAAGGTAAAATATTGTTAAGATCTTTTTGGTACATGGTTTTAAAATATCAATTCCTAAATTCCTCATATTTAGGAAGATAAAATTCTTTGTTTATTTTTTTTCTATTTACTATAAATTCATTTGGTTTTAAATCCATAAAATTTATAGTTAAAATCCAATTTCAGATATAGTTGGGTCTTAATCTTCCTCTAAAGAAGATTCATTATCTTGCTTATAAATTTCATGTGGAATCTGGTTATGCAAAGTGTGGATTCCCTCAATTATGGGATCTTTTTCGCTTTTTCTATCAGGAACAGAAGAAGTAGACCTCCTACCAGGAGTATTGTAAAATGACGAAGTGCTTGATTTATTAAAGATTTTTAATCTTGAAAATTTTTCTCTTACAAATCTTATCAATACATCCCCTTGAGATGATTGGACGATCTGTGTTACTTCTTGAATTACTTCTGGTTTCTTAGGAACAATAGTTTCAAATTGCCATGTTTCTAAAAACTGAATTTCTGACCATTTAATAGTTTTTGAAATTTCAATTTTATTTTTTATCATATTAGTTTCAATTAGAGTTGTTTGTCCTTTGAGATTATGAAGCTTAGCTTCTGATGATACAGTATTCAATACTTTATAATAGACTCTATAGGTAAAAATTATTATACCAGTTCTTTCTTAAAAATTATAACCATAAGTATTAATATTACATATTAAAACATCTAATATGTTCCTATCAGTTAAAAAGACAGATAAATTTGGAAAACAGTTAAAATAAACTGGACCAATATTTAATCTGGATTACATAACTCCCATTATGGATTGGTCAACATCTAAACATCTAGCATCTCTTAAGGCCAACATAAAATAGGCATTTAATCTTTGAAGAGTTAATGGTTTTAAAGCATCTTGGATTAACCCAATATGTAAAAATTTATAATTTTCTTGTACCTTTAAGACTTCTCTTTCTATTAAGAGTTGTAGAGTATCCCCATGTTGATAAAAAGGGAATAGTTCTTTCCAATGTTTTAATTGTTATACTTGATTTAAAATCATAGGTTCCAATATTATATATTTTCTTAGTTGGATGAAGAAGTATATCCTAGTTCTATAATTTAATTTCCATATCCGAAAATTCAATTTCTTCAAAATTGTTTACATAATCTTTTTTATGTTTATTATCTAATTTAAATAGGCTTAATGCCATTCTGCTTTTCAAAAAAGTTTTTGTTGACGTATATGCATTACTATTACCTTCAAGTTGCTACAGTAATTCATCTTTTAGTACTGCTATAGTAATGCTATAATGACTTTTTGCTATAGTAACTCTACTAAAATGTTCGTCTTCCTCTTTCCTACTATTGTTGTCAACGATTTATGCGGAACACAAACGGCCTCACTCCTATCTCTCGGAAACGACCAAACATCCCACACGCGACTTGGGTGCAGAACCATAGGAATAAGAAAGAAAAACATTTCAACAGAATTGGAGTAACAAATTCAAAATAACATTAGTATAACAAAATTAAATCACAATTACATAAGCAATATGAGTTGGTAATAGATCAACATATAAATCAACAAAATAACTTTAAGCTATCATAACCAACATGGCTCTAATACCAACAACATATAGGATCGATATCAATATATAAATGAAAGCTTTTATTTAATACAAACTGAAATTTACAAAGTTTGCCGACAGAGGAGGAGGACAGATGGAATAAAGAAGTTGAAAGCCAGTTTACTAGAGAAGGGAAAGAGTGATCAAGAGAGAGCAAAGGAGGAGAAAGAGAGATGGAGTCTGAAAGGGGTGCCTCCACCAGACTGGCTGAGCATCCTTTAAAAAAGGGTCGGATGTGAAATCCGGATTTCAAAAAAGTAAAAATTTTTATTATTCACAACTTTATACTATTTACTGATATCATTACATATGTCATCTTCACTGTTTATGACATCATAGCTTACGTCACTATTACTATTGACGACGTCATTACTTCCATAGTCTTCTTAACGCTATTTCTTTACTGTTGATGTTGTTTGGTTACCTATAAAGTAAATCATATAATTCAACATTAACACTGTCTTGGAGATTTTTATTTTCATATCTTCATTACGAGGGGTATAACCTGTAATAGGGGTATATCCCTGTGAATCCATAAAGTCGTCATCAGAATCGACCGGCGTTTTGATTTTCCTATCATCATTCTCGATTTTATTTTTGTCTTTATCCCTTACAACCACAGTGGGAGTATTAACAAGATTCATCTTCTTATTTTGTCCATTCCAAAAGTGGACATTATTTGCAGACACATCTCGTCCATAACTACTGTTTTAAGTTGTTCAGTTGTTAGGTTGGGTTTTTCTTTAAGAAGTTTTTCTTTAAGAAATTCAATTGGATTTAATCCAATATTAGTACTAATGCTAGTACTAGGAACAATTTCTTTTGAGGTTACTTCCTCATTTTCTATGTCTTTTAAGATATTCAGCTATAACCGGAATTTTCTCTTTAAGAGGATAGTTATTCCATAATCTTATTTGGAATTCTTACTAATCTGGTATGTCCATTTGATTAAAACCGCAACAGACACTCCATACCCAAACCCAAGATACAAAGAACTCTACTGAGAAATTTATTATGGGTTTAACCTCAATTTTATTATCCTTTAAGGATAGACTTTTTTCTTTATAGAAGTCAAATAATTCTTTAATTTCAGATGAATATATCCCTTCAATAGGCATCGTGAGTCATAAAACCATGTTCAAAAATAAGAAGATGGATCTTGTTAATACTCACATTATGGCCATAAGGGATAAAGACAAAAATAAAGTTGAGGATGATGACAAGAAAACCAAAACTTCAGTCGATCCTGATAACGACTTTATGGATTCACAGGGATAAGTTATACCACTCATAATGAACATATGGAGATAAATCTCCAAGAAAGCGCTAATGCTGAACCATATGATTTATTTTATAGGTAATCAAATAGCGTCAATAATAAAGAGACGGCGTTAAAAAAACCACGGAAGCAATGGCGTCACCAATAGTAAAAGTAACGTAAGTCATGACGTCACAAACAGTGAAGATGACATATGTAATGACACCAGTAAGTAGTATAAAACTGTGAATAATAAAAAATTTTACTTTTTTGAAATTCAAATTTCACATCTGACCCCTTTTTAATCAATTCTTAGCCAGTCTGTTGGGGACACCCTTTAGACTCAATCTCTCTTTCTCCTCCTTTACTCTCTCTTGACCAATCTCTGCCTTCTCTAGTAAACTTGCGTTAATCTTCTTTGTTCCTTTTGTCCTCCTCC